CGGGTTCAAGCGATTCTCCTGCCTCAGCCTCCTGAGTAGCTGAGATTACAGGCGCCTGCCATCACACCCAGCTAATTTTTTGTATTCTTACTAGAGATGGGGTTTTGCCATGTTGGCTAGGCTGGTCATGAACTCCTGACCTCAGGTGATCCACCCGCCTTGATGTCCCAAAATGCTGAGATTACAGGTGTGAGCCGCCACGTCTGGCCAGGGCTGGTTTTTGGATGTGATTCCCAGCACTGTCTTTCTTTACCCTTTTGCTCTGCTGAGGCCCACAGCAGTCTGGTCTCCTTGGGGGTGGGGGAAGGGTTTAAATCTATCCGGTGAAGCCTTTTGGTGTTCCAGATTAACATGGGAAGCGTTTCCTCGAAAACTCCCCATCTCAGGTGGACCCTGCTGTTGTCCTTCTTGCCCTTCACGGAAATGGAGTAAAGTCTGAATGTACACAATTGACAAATATGTCAGGGTGTAAGTGGTTTTGATCCTCTGACGTTCTATTTACCTGTCTGGTGTTAAGTATAATTTTTTCTAAAAATTGGCCTTAAGCTCCCTCCCACCCCCGACCCCTTTACAGTAAATTGTTTCTCAAGATCTGAGTGACAATAGAGAAATACCACAGTCCTGAATAGGAAGACTCAAAATCATAAATGAATATCCTCCGTAAACTAAATTATATAAATTACATAGTCACTCTAAATTAATGTATAAATATAATGCAATTCCAAATAACTTTTATAGCTATATTTTACGTGCTGATATCTGATAGACCAAGTCTCTGCTTGTTACTAGTTTTTTCCTCCCAAAAGCCTTGACTATCCTCAAGGATTTGTCATTCTAGATCATGTGTCAACAAACTATGGGCCCATGGCCCAAACCCTGGTGACTATCTGCTTTTGCAAATAAAGTTTTATTGAAGCAGAGCCACACCCATTTGTTTACACATTGTCCATTGGCTGCTTTTGAGCTAGATTTGAATAGTCGCAACAGAGTCCAGATGACCCAGAAACCTCAAATGTTTTGTCTGGTCCATTACAGAAAAAGCTCACCCATCCTATTTTTGATGGTGGTTAAGGAAGCCAACTGTATTCAAATCTTCCCTTCTACCACTTATCAGCCTCCTGACCTTGCGGGGGAGAGGGGTGTGTGTGTATGCGTGTGTGTGTGTGTGTGTGTGTGTGTGTGTGTGTGTGGTTCTCAGCATTTATTAAGCTCTTGATGGTGTCTTTTCAGATAGGTTTTGTAGTTTTCTATTTTTTGCACATTAAAAAAAATTTACGATGCTTTATTTTTTTTCCCTATTTTTTTTGTCATTGTAAGTGACACTTTTTCCATCTCTCCACATCCTAGCTATGGCGTTCAGCCCTTTTTGAGCCTCGAAGTGATTGGCTTTGCCTACATTGTTACATAATTGCAAATGATTATGCGTGTGGGATGTCTTGTATTATATGACAGGCGGACAATTTAGCAACATGACCCTGATGTCATAGTAAGAAATTGTAATGGGAATCCAGGTATAGAGAAAAGATTAGACAAGGGATTCTAAAAAAAGGCATCTTTCATAATCATGCCATTTAATTATTCTGGGTGTGCCAGTCAGGACAGGCAAGGTTAGGCTGCAATAACAGTGTCAAAACTTCAGTAGCTTAAAACAACAAAGGCTTATGAGTCACTTTCATTTCATGTCTAAAGCAGGCTTCTGGGTTGGGGAAGGGTGTTGGCGATCTGCTGCCTGTGGTCAGTGGAGCCAGGCTGATGAAGCCCCTACAGCCACACGGGTTTCCCTCCAGAAGAAGGAAGGGGAGATGGTGAGTCATGCACTAGCTTTTAAAGCTTCCATTAGGAAATGATAAGCACCACTTCTGCTATTGTTTCATTGTTCCAAGTAAGTCCTGTGGCCCCACCTAACCTTAAAGAGCAAGGAGGGACGGTCCTTCCACACGCCCAGGAGGAGGAGACTAGGAACTTTGTGAAGTCCTGAGGGCTTCCCCCATCTGCCCTTCCAGTCACCAGCATTCGTTTCTCTCTTCCTCACACATAAAGAACATACTCCTCCCCATGGGAGAAAATCCGAAGTCCTAGCTCAGTGTGGGGGATCAGTGGCTTTCTCAGTGCTCACCTGGGACTTCTTGAGATCTGGCCCTTACACCACCCAGTGGAATTCTAGTGCCTCAAACCAAGCTGGCTCCTATGTGGAATGCGAGGCTGAGGAGTTGTGCTTCCTGCACCCCACCCACTCGCCCTAAGGATAGCTCCCGGTTTTCTCTGCTGAGCGTCCTTGGTAAACTGTGCCTTCCATATCATGCATGTGACACAGTACCCATTTTCTCCAAGCCCGCAGTCCACTATTAAAGGAAATGTGGCTGGGTGCAGTGGCTCACTCCTGTCCTTCCAGCACTTTGAGAGGCTGAGGTGGGTAGATTGCTTGAGCCCAGGAGTTCGAGACTAGCCTGGGAAACGGCAAAATCCCATCTCCACAAAAAATACAAAAATTAGCCTGCCATGGTGGTGTGTATCTGTAGTTCCAACTGCTCAGGAGGCTGAGGCGGGAGGGTCGCTTGGGTTGGGGAAGTTAAGGCTGTGGTGAGCCTAAATTGTGCTACCGCACTGCAGCCTGGGTGGCAGAGAGAAACCCTGTCTCCAAAAATATATTAAAATAATATTTTAAAAAAGGAACTATAGTGTTGTCCTTACTGGGAGATAACGGAGTTCAGCATCTACTTTTCCACAACCCCAAGCCTGGTGCAGTGTCTGCTGATGATGCTGACACAGTGGTCTTGTCTTTTTTCTTTTCTTTTCTTTTCCCTCCCTCCCTCCCTCCCTCCCTCCCTCCCTCTCTCTCTCTCTCTCTTCTTTCTTTCTTTCTCTTTCTCTTTCTTTTCTTTTCTTCTTTTCTTTTCTTTCTCTCTCTCTCTCTCTCTCTCTCTCTCTCTCTTTCTTTCTTTCTTTTCTTTTTTTGAGACAGAATCTCTCTCTGTACCCAGGCTGGAGTGCAGTGGCAAGATTTGGGCTCACTGTAGTCTCGAACTGCTGGGCTCAAGTGATCCTCCCACCTCAGCCTCCTGACTGCTGGGACTTACAGGTGCAACCCATCACACTCGGCTAATTTTTAAAATTTGCTGTAGACATAGGGTCTCTCTATGTTGTTCAGGCAGGCTCAAGTGATCCTCCCACTTTGGCCTCTCAAAGGTCTGAGAATTACAGGTGTGAGCCACTGTGCCCGGCTGACAGTGACTTTTAAACTCCTAGTGCCATAGTCTTTTTCATGCTCCTGACCAGAGGTGGCCCAGGCTGGAGTCTTCAGGCTTCTGCAGTTCTGGTTGTCTTTGATTGTTTGTGGTTTATTGTCTTGAAAAATTATTTGTGAGGGTTTCCCAAAGCCTAGGCTACATGTGCCTGGCCGAGAGAGGCTTTGCAATTCTGCATCTGGAGATCACAGTGGAAGCACTGTATCCATCACTGAAATCCACACAATGAGGAATCAGACATTACTGTTGTAGGTTTCTTTGTGGCCAAGCACCTATTAGTGTGGCAGGCTGAGATTCAGTCCATTACGGAGAGAGGGAAGGCTGGGGTTGTTTGTGCTTCTAATGGACATCTTGAATGGTCCTCAAGCCTGCAGCCTCCTCCTGGCACCTGCTCTGAGCCTGGGACCTGAGCGGTTGCTCACCATGGCAACCCAAGAGGAGACAGGGATGTACACGCATCTGTCTGTGTGAAACTTTTCAACCCTGTCTGTGCGTGTGTGACCAACGCTGCAAGTAAATCAGACCTGCTTTCCTTTCACTCCTCCGCAGCCCCCCACACTGATCATCATCCTGAGAGATGCTGCCAACAGCTGGTAACGCAGGCATGGAGAGGAGGAGGTCACAGAGCGTGCAGAAACAATGTTTTCTGAAAATGAGAAATTGCGTGTCCTGGTTAGCTTAGCAATTATCATTATGGGGTGAGATGCAGCCATTGGAGGAGGATTAGTCATTAAGAATCTGAAGTCTTCAGGCGAGGGAGAGTCTGATGTCATCAAGGCCAGCTTCTCTCCAGTGCCAGCATGCCCACCTCACCCCTCCGCCCCTGCCTCAAGCATCCCTGGAGGATGGTTAGACGGCAGCAATGGGGAGCTCACTACCTCTCCAGACAGTTCAGCTATTAGGCTGTACGCTGAGCTAACTGCCTCCTCATACCCTACAGCAGTTTGTGTCAACACTGTGCCCTCTGCCCCAGGCACCTCCTCCAGGTTCAAGGAGATCCTAAGCATGCCAAACTCAAGCTGTGTGTATGTGGCCCTAGCATGCAGCAGCTGCTCTGTTTCTGGCCCCTTGAGTCTCCCTGCCATGTCCAGGAGACAGCTGTGGACGGCATAGGTAGCCCCCTTGGGCTTCTGAGCTCTGGCCGGGCTTCTCCATGCTGACTGTCTCTGTGGGCCGCCCCTTGCCCAAGGGCGCCTCTGGTCTCGGTCGTCTGGGCACCTGCCAGCCCCTTTGACTCAAGGACCTTATTTGGAAAACCCACTCCAGGGTGTGACAACGAGTGTAGCACCGTGTAGCACTTGTCAAAATACAATGTGGCCACAAATCGCTTGGGTTCTGGTTAAAGTGCCCAGCTGGGTGACGGGTGACGTTTGGTTGTCTTTGTTGGGTTCCATGTCACAGCTATGCTAGATTTGTAAACTGAACCAGACCACATTCTCTGTTTGTTTTCCAGATGGTTTAAACAGCCTACAAACATTTTTTGAAAGTCTGAGAGAACTCATCTACTAAACTCTCTGACCCACACCTTTTTGGGAAATGGTCCTTTGTCAGTTTTAAAGTTGATTCTATGTTTTTTGTCATTGTTTTTTTTTGAGTCGGAGTTTCGCTCTGTCACCAGGCTGGAGTGCAATGGCGCTATCTCAGCTCACTGCAACCTCTGCCTCCTGGGTTCAATTCTCCTGCCTCAGCCTCCCAAGTAGCTGGGACTACAGGCTCCCACTACCCGCCCAGCTAATTTTTTGTATTTTTAGTAGAGATGGGGTTTCACCATGTTGGCCAGGATGGTCATGAACTCCTGACCTCAGGAGATCCACCCGCCTTGGCCTCCTGAAGTGCTGGGATTACAGCCGTGAGCGACTGTGCCCAGCCAATTCCATGGCTTTTTACTTCTCTTGGCAATTCCCATTTTTCTCTAAAAGCATGCTGTTATGGATTGAATTGTGTCCCTCCCAAATTCATGTATTGAAGCCTGTGAACCTCAAATATCTGAGACAGGTCTCATTCCATTTAGAAAGTTTATTTTGCCAAAATTAAGGACGCACCCATGACACAGCCTCAGAAGGTCCTGACAGCATGTGCCCACGGTGGTCAGGGCAGAGTCTGGTTTTATGCATTTTAGGGAGACAGGAGTCATCAATCAACGTATGTAAGATATATATTAATTCCATCTGGAAAGGCGGGACAACCACAAAGGTGGGAGGGGCTTCCAGGTCAAAGGCGGATGAAAGACAAAACAGCTACATTCTTCTGAGTTTCCGATTAGACTTTCCAAAGGAAGCAATCAGATATGCGTTTATCTCAGTAAGCAGAAGGAAGACTGAATAGACTGGGAGGCCGATTTGCTCTAAGTAGTTCCCAGCTCGACTTTTCCCTTTAGCTTGGTGATTTTGGGGTCCCAAGGTTTATTTTTCCTTTCACAAGCCTTAACCCTCCATGTGACTGATTTTGGAAACAGAGCCTTGAAGGATGAAATGAAGGTTAAATGAGGCCATAAGGGTGAGGCCCTGATGCGACAGGACTGGTGTCCCTAGAAGAGGAAGAGACGCCAGAGCTCTCTCTCCTCCCGCACAGAGGAAAGGCCAGGCGTGCACAGAGCAAGAAAGACCCTGAGCATGCCAAACTCAGGAAGCCAGGAAGAAAGGCTTTACCTTTCCCTGCTGGCACCTTGATCTTGGAGCCACCAGAACTGTGAGAAATAAATTTCTGTTGTTGAAGCCACCCAGCCTGTGGTATTTCCCTGGGGCAGCCCAAGCTGAGGAAGACGCATGCATTCTCCACCGACCTGTCCCAACTGCCTAGCATACTGCATGCCTTTAATACTCTCTTCTAATCCAAAACCTCTCCTCTGGGTCTTTGATTAAATGTCGCTGACTTCTCTAATGTGCTTTTGTGTTCTCTCCCACTCATTTGCTTTCTGCCCCCCCACCTCTTTATTGGGCTTCCACAAGGCTGGGTATCTTACAGCTGTTTACAAGAAACTGAGTCTTAGATTTATCAGTTCTATGGATTTTTATGTTTCCTATTTCATTAGTTTTTATCTTTACTCCTACTTCTCTCCCTAGGTTTATCGTGTTGCTTATTTTCTAGCTCCTTCAATTGGATGCTTCATTTGCCTTCAGTCTTCCTTGTTGAATAACAAAAACATCTGGAGCTATGGGAGTGCTTTGGTTTCATTCCCTAAGTATCGCTACGTGGAGTTCCAATTGTCATGTTCTGAATGACCCATAACTGCAGTTTTGTTCCCTTCTTTGATTCAAGTTATTTAGGCATAAATTTCCAAGTGATTTCATTTTTTTCTGCTGTCTATCCTTTTGTTTCTAATTTCTGTTTTTATTGCATGGGGGATAGATAAGGTGGCCTGAGAAAATGATTGCTTGTGCGTGCCTGGGAGGTGTTCTTGGTGGCCTAAAATGTCATCGGTTTTGGTCACTTCCCCGCAGATGTTTGAATTAAATGTCTTTCCTGTTTGTATGTATGTATGTATGTATTTATTTTTGAGATGGAGTTTCGCTCTTGTTACCCGGGCTGGAGTGCAATGGCGCGATCTTGGCTCACCGCAACCTCTCCCTCCTGGGTTCAGGCAATTCTCCTGCCTCAGCCTCCCGAGTAGCCGGGATTACAGGCACGCGCCACCATGCCCAGCTAATTTTTTTTGTATTTTTAGTAGAGACGGGGTTTCACCATGTTGACCAGGATGGTCT